TCTCTTTCTCTCTCTCTCTCTCTCTCTCTCTCCCCTGTGGGGAACTCTTATCTATGTATAACAACCCATCAATTTGTATATAACAATAACTTTGTATTTCATTGGAATTTCTAACTGTTATTCTCAAGTCTAGCGATAATAAGATTTACGGCAAATAAATAACTGTTGAATAAGTAATTGAATGCTTCGGTGCAAAGGATTTGAATGTTTCGTAACTAAGATTACGGCTCAAAATCGTCAACAAAAAGTGAGTCCGTATGAAATGAGAAGAAAACATAGTGTGAGAAAACAATATCATATATAATATGCAATCATATCGTAAACGATATGAAAGTATAGGAAAAAAGTGTAAGAATTTGATTAAAGAATCGGCGAAAACGTCAAAAAGTGTCGAAAACGACGATAAGCGCAATGAGTGACGATAGCACTGACGAGACGACCCCTACAGTCCCCTACAGTCAACCCTAACAGTGTGTTTGTGTGGAAAGCAATGCGTAAATGAATGAATGAATTGATAACCAAAATAATAGACTCAATGCTATAATAGTGTGAATGCATTGAATTGTATGACAAAAACAATACAACACTTAACACAACAACAACTCATTGGCCGTAGAGTTGGTGTTCGCGAGAAGTCTATGAATTGCTGTTCATTATTGGCTGCAATCATATTGAGTGCAAAACACATACCATTTATTACACTATAGTTAATACACTTGTATTGCATTCAATACTATTGTAATCTAACTATGATTACAATTATTATGATATTGTGATCACTGATTCACTGCAAACACATTGCCATACAATTTGTCACTTGCTTTTCGTGACAGTGTTTTCTCGTCACTCAATTGATCCCATAATTCATTGAATATTTATTATAATCACAGCTGAAGACCGACAAAATTGTGACCAAAAAAATTTAGTGATGTTTTTGTTGTAACAAAAGTTTTCAATTCATTTGTTTGCTTTCAAAACACGATTTGATTCTTGAAGTGATTTAATATTTACTAATTTCTAAGTGAGTGTTAAGTGATGTTTAAATTGTGTGACTATTTATGAATTGTGTTTGAATTGTAATCAATACATGCGATGACATGTGGGATGACATGAAGTGATGGCCGATCACAGCAACGATACGATTACAGCCGAAGACATGTCCTCATCGTCTCCATCGACGGTCAATGAGGTCTTAAGCGACGAATTTGTGAGCATTTGTCGTCACTTTTGTCTCATTTGTGGCAAATCTTATGCAAAAGAGTTCGCAAACAAATTGACTGAATTGTGTGAACAGAACTCAGGTCTTGAGCTCAACGGATCCAACATCGATGCCATCATAAGGCTATTCACACAACAATTTGCTCAATATTTACGCCAAGAACTCGATATCAGTTTAATTTGTGATAATAATAACAAACACATCACCTCTTCTGATACCAATAGTTTAGACAACAATAATATCATTCAAACCAATGATAAGAAACACAAATTTGACTGCAATTTGGCCTCAAATGTCACCAATAATACCGATAGTAATGTCGCCAATACTGCAGACATTAGCGGCCATACAAACGATGGCAACGAGTCGTCGACAACGGATGCAAACCATCCATTAGTGCCTTCAGTGAACACCACTTCCATCACATCTAATGGCGAATCCATTAATGGCAATAACGAGTCCAATAATACCACTCTTTTGGTCAACTCATCCAACATAACGAGAATCACGACAACTAATGGCACGCATTCTGTGAATGTGAGGCCAAAGTCGACGGCACCGACGGGTGTGAGCGGCGCCGCAGCGCCCGATGACTACAGCGATCTGTCGGACAACGAGACCGAAACGGAGTCACCGAAAATTCCGTACCGAAAGTTCTTCAGGCGATTGAGTTTCAAAGGATTGCGAAAAGGTTTACCACTCTTTCACTTCAATTATCAAAAATATTTGATTAATTTTTTTGCCGCTAATTATTGCCATTTAAGCAAACTTTTTGTTGTTATTGTAATTTTCAATTATATTTTTTCCACCAATTAATTGCTTTTTTAATGCAAAATAACATTTGTTTAAACATTTCGAAAATAACATTTCATTTATCTTTTATTGTTTGTTTTGTTGGCTATATTTTTATCGTTTATAAGTCTATAAATATTTTTTGTATTTAATGTGTTGTTGTTTTCGTCGAAAAATATTTAATGATTTTTTCGAGAGAAAAATTGTGCGACAAATAAATTAGTAATTTAAGCACTTTTTGAGTGAATATATTAAGCAATTTTTTGAGCATAAAATGAAATTATAAATTAGTAAAGTATTAAAATCCCATTGCAATGAATATATTATGATTTAATTGATTCAATTGAATGAATCAATTAAATATTTGAGTTACTTTTAGTTTAAATTTATTTTTCTGTAATTTACGTCAAATGTTATGTCTGTCTGTTATATACAGAATAATGTCTAACATTTGCATTAGATTTTCATATTATTGTCAAATCTCGACAAAAATATTTGTCAAACAATTGTTATAAATAAAAAAGTGTTAAAATATGCGTTAATATGCGATTTAGTGTAAAATAAAAAGTGAAATCTATTTGTTATTAACACTTAAATTAAAAATATTTATTTAGTAATAAATAGAGAGAAAAGCGAGTGTTGTTTGCGGCGAAAAATAGGCCAAAATAATAGTCAAATGCATTAATACATAATTTATTTATTCATTGAATGTTATGTCGAAAAGTTAGTTATTTATTTAGTTGTTTACGAAAAACATATAAATTGTTGCTTTTTATTCCCAGCAGTCCATAGAGAAGAGAGAAATCACGAGAAAAACTGTTTTTCTCTCAAATGTGTTTCAATTTATTTCATTTATTTATTCATTCAATTCAATCAGAAATGAAATCAAATATGATTTTTCTTTTTATAAATAATTGTTTCTATAATTACGTCGAAACCCCATTAAAAGGCTATACGTTTTTACTGACATTTTATTTATTCTTATGTTTTGCGATATAATTGTATAGATTTTTGTTGCCTTTTATTAATATTTGTTTTTAACACCAAAAATCTCGATAGACTTTCCGATTATAGTTGTGTTCAATAAACTTAATTCGAGATCAGTTTTAGTGATAATTTATATCCAAATTGGAGTATATTTTGAACTCAATTCTCTCATCAAATAAATAAATAAATATTTATATGTTTTTAAATATACTTTAAAATTTAAATATATGTATAAAATATTTGTGTTTATTTTATTTTTTATTGAAAACATTGAAAGCATTTATAACATAGAAATTGTTGTCACACTTAGAACTTGACCCCAATTTTAGGAGTTTTAGAGTTTATATTTGTTTTATGTTTATTTTTTGTAAATATTTTAAAATTAAATAAAACCAAATCTTTACTGACATTTCTATCAATAAAATATTAAATTTAATATTTTTTGTGTGGAAAATAACATAAAACTACCGATACTTTAGATAATGTTTTCAAAAACCCACAAGAAATGTGATCCAAAAATACTGGTCTAGAGTTTAATTCAATTTTATTTCATTTGAAAAGAAATGATTTATTGATTATTTCTTATGAAAAATCTCTTATTTTTTAAAACAGAAAATTGTTTTAAAAAGTTTGCACCGAAAAGAGGATTACAATTCATTCTACTGTGAAATAAAAGCAAAATTATATTCATTACTTCAAAAGCACTTTCTCTTTAGTAACAAAATAGCAAAATATAATTGTTGTAAAATTGCTTCGTTTAGCGTTGAAAAGGCATTTCATGAACTGTTTTGACACATCCTTTTAGGCAAAGGATTCTTCCATAAACAGCATTCCGATGAAGTGGAGCTCTCATCCAACTCTCACACCAACGCCAACAACAGCGCCCATACATCACATCAGACCGAACAGAGCTCACGGCGTGACAAGAATCGCGACTCGAAAATGGATCACAAATGGCTTCACTCGAAGAATCAGTCGAAACAGTCGACCAACGAGTCGATCATCAAAGAAGGTGTCGTCAATTATCTGACGGTCGATAACTCTAACTTCGATGGCAAACACAAGTGGGATAAGTGTCGCATGGCTTTGGTTAAGACCACCGGTGGCTATATGTTAGAGTTTTACGCACCAAACAAACCACTCAAACCCAAGTGCGGTGTCTTCTGCTTCCTCATCACCGAAGCCCGGGAGACGACAGCACTGGAAATGCCAGACCAGGAGCACACCTTCGTCCTCAAAGTCAGTCATTCCCTTTCACTCCCCCTTTCATATCACTGTTGCTATTAATATGTATTTCCTGTTAAAAAGGCTGAAAATATGATGGAATATATCATTGAAGCTCACGATGCGGAGGATATGAGGCAATGGCTCACATCTATAAAGTATTGCATGCGTTTCAATAGTGACGGAACGACTGACGACAACGAGTAATATTATTGACGATTTTCTCATTATTTTTTTCAAATGTTATTTCATATATTGCTCTCCAATCATGAAGTGTGACGACGACTTCTCCGTACGACAATATCCCTCGTCTTCAGGAAACGGATGGCAATCGTGCGAATCAGTCGAGTGGCAGCGATGGTGCCGTGTCGGGCCCCGGGGGCGGCACTAACTCAGACATATGCGGCTCAATGCGTGAATACCCCTGGTTTCACGGAATGCTCAGTCGTTCAGACGCCGCACAACTCGTGCTCAGAGAAGGTCTTCAAATATAATGATTGTTTAAACTCTGTACTGACTCTGTGTTGATTCTGTCCGGCACAGGCACTCTATGGCACGGAGTCTTTCTGGTCCGACAAAGTGAGACCCGAAAAGGCGAATACGTGCTGACATTCAATTTTCAGGGCAGAGCTAAACACTTACGAATGGCTATCATTAACGAAGGCCAGTGTCGGGTTCAGCACTTGTGGTTCCAGACTATATTCGATATGTTAGAGCACTTTCGCATACATCCCATCCCATTAGAGTCTGGCGGCACATCTGATGTCACTCTCACTGATTATGTCATCTTTTATGAAAAGTGAGTCTAACTTTGGATTCAAAACTATAAAATAAACAATGATTTAATTGAATGTTTAGTTCACCGGCGAGTCGTGGATCGCCATCTCCTCAACTTAATGCTCAGAACACAAGCGAACCATTGATTAGTAGTAGTAATAGTAGCCAACCGGCGATCACTCACATCAGAGATCGAGTGCCCAGTATTCCCGAACTCCAAGAGATCATCACATATGGCGGGTCAGTGCGGATGAGGTCCGCGTCGCTGGAGAATCTGCAACAAATGCAATCCCAACATCTGGCGAGTGTCGGCGGCAATGCCAGGGCTGTTGAGAACACTTACCATTTCGTCTAATTATTGTTTTCTCATCAATTCATTAAATTATGTTTGAATTGCTTTTTCATTTATATTTCTCACGAATTGTGATCTTATCTTCCATTTTATTATTAATATTAGAGGAAAATAACAGTTATTTTTCGATTATAACTCGTTATCAATATATAAACAGTTATTCTTTCTCTTTTTCCTTATGTAAAAACTAGTCATTTATTGAGTCGTTTGTCTCTTTTATTGGTTTTAAACCCTTTTAACTATTTTTTGTGTAAATTTATATAAATTTTAAAAATTTGTTTTTATTATAAACAAGAGAAGTGTGTTTTTCTGTAATTTTCAATTACTGTACTTCTCATCAAAACAAACAAAAAATTAAGTAAAAAGTTATGTTTGACTCGATTTTTCGTTTTTTGATTAATTCATACATTTTCTTATGAATATTTATGGTTTTTATTGTATACTTTGCCCACACTATACTAGTTAACTTCCAACATGGTACTTTCAAAAAATGTTAAATCAATTTTATTGAATAAAATATGAATATTTTTGCCAATTCTGTTGATAAGGCTTTCTGTTGAAGTCGTAAAACATTAATAATTTTATGCATTTAATATGCAATTCATATGTAATTATTTATTGAATCGGCGGTTTCGTTGAAATTTATGTAAAAATTAAAAAACTTATTCAAATATTTATTTATTTTATCACTAATTATATGGAAAAACTCTTCACTTACTTAATTGAATCGATTTCAACACTGTTTGTCCACAATTTATGGAGCACTTCATATGATTGATTGTCTCACAACTATCACAACAGAGCACATCCCGCCAGTGATGACCACAAATATCTCTTAATATACTGTTCACAATCTTAGCATCGATTAAATTGTTTAAAACATCTATTGTTAGTATTGAAGCTTATAATTGTGTTTTATAATCTAAAACCTGATAATAACGCCAATTAGTATTTATTTTGAACAATTGAACCAAAATATTGTGAATTTACTATAAAACGATTTCCACTGACTGTCTGTCAAAATACGTAATTTTCCACATTTTATTTCATATGAAACAGAAAACGTTAAACTAATCTACTTTTAGTTTCCAAATGTAATAATTATTAAATTATATTTACATTTCGAGTCTCATTATTAATTTTAATTAAATCACAAAATTCATGATTTCAAATGATTTGATAATTCAAGAGATAAGTAATGATAAAAATTATATGAAAGTGGACTCAATTGAGGGCACAAAATATAAGACACCTTTATTTAGTGCTAAATATCGTACTTTTTATAGGAAAAAAGGCATTTAAACTTCAGTCGAAAGGGTGTCACAAACTATTGAATAATAAGTAAACATTTTTTAATACAAAAGAAACAAATATTTATTTATTTGCAGTTTATATTCAATTATAAGTACGGTTTTTAAATCAAAACTTTAGGGACTTTTTGTCGGTCAATAACTAAATTAAAATAATATATATTTTTATACATTACTAAACATTGGACTTATTATTTAATGTTTTGTTGTATGGTTTGAAAGTATACTCAAAATAAATTTCGTGTTTTCAATGGGTTTTTTCTGTCAAAAGTAAAAATAATATAATGTTTTTATATATGATATAAAAGCAAAGAGAAAATTATAGTTTAATTTAAAAAACACGAGAACTTAATTTATATAATGTTTAAAAATAAGTTTTTACTTTATCTGGAATTTAAAGTAAATAAAGTTTTGTAAACTTGTTTTTAAATAGGGTTTTAACGTAATTATAAGTTGTATTTTTGTTCAGCAAAAAATTGGTTGAAATCATTGAATCAAATAAGATATGAATGGATGAGAAGATGCGGAGACGACGGAAAGGGGGGATCGGAAGAAGCGATCAATAGCTGACTTCGAGGAGGTTGTGATGCGCTGACAGCGAGTTGTGACTGTTCTCGTGGTCGGTGTTTGTCTGCGAGTCATTCATGGAGGCGTTGGTGAGTCCGTCCTCTCCGATGCCCATCAGATGGTCCTCACGAGAGGAGCCCGAGTGGAAGCGTCCGCCTTCGCCGCGGACCCGATTCATGGCGTGTTTGTGTCGCGACTCGTGCAGGTATTTCCTCCTCTCCTTCGGTATGCGTCCGTCGGCCTCGAGCTTAGCCCTCGCCTGTCGGCGCTTAAGTATTCGGTGGTATTGTTTGGCGTTCACGTAAAGCGGTTCCTCCTCTAAGAACTCGGCGGCGCCGGGAAGTGGTATTCGTTGAACGGTTTGCAGACCACCGGCTCCGGGAACCACCATAACTATGTTGCCGGCGCCGAGCGCTCCGGCGTTTGGCAGCGTTATAGCGGTGCCCGCGTTCTGTTGGCCGGCGTTCGCCGAGTTTTGTTGTGCGGCCGCCTGTTGTACGGCCTGAGCGTTATTCATGAGTGAATTGGCCGGCAATTGGATCACTCCCTGAGCCGTTTGCACGAAATTAGATCCGTCGACAGTCAGGGGCTGACACACAATGGTCTGCCCGTCGGCTGTTTGTATGATTTGTCCGTTTTGTGGCTGTTGTATAATGAACTGCTGTCCGGGCATGAACTGGATCTGTTGGATCTGCTGACCCGACTGGCCCTGCAATTGAATCGTCTGTCCCTGAGGTAGTGTCTGAACCATCAGCTGCTGTCCGCCGCTCATAATCGTGCCCTGAGGTGACACTTGGATCACCTGTTGTCCCGCTTGAGTGACCGACGTCTGGCCGCCCGAAGTCACCTGAATTGTCTGACCCGCTTGTATGCCCTCTCCCGAGGCTGTGGTCGCCGTCTGGAACTGATCCATACTATCAACACATTATGTCAAGCATTTCATATAGTATTCAGTAATAGACTTAAAATTGATATTCAATTATAATTTAGATAAGTATAGTGTTTATTGAATGCATTACTAAATCGATTGACACTCAAAATGAATCAATAAATAAAGAGTAATGAAAGCAAAGATTGTGTAATAATAGTATGTATTGTGTAATCGTGTAGTGAATGTAGTGTCGGGTCAGTAGTGGTCAGTAATAGCGGTGTTTGTGTTGTAATGAGTTTGACATAACGTGAATGCATTGGTGTTGAGTTGTATTGAGTGATAAAAGCAGTGATGATGTGATTGAATGGCACTTACAGTGAATGGATTGTATGGATGTATGGATTGGATGGCAATCGTAATGATTGTCTCCCTATTCGCCAATCGTTGCCAAAC